AAATTATAAGTCCATAATTATCTCTGGATGGTGGAATTAGAGGTGATTTTTAATGTTTTATCTCAATTTTTCCTATTTTTCCTATTTGAGTATATGTTAGTTTTTATAATAAAGGAGGAAGTTACTAAAAATTAAAACTACAAATCATAAACCTATCTATTTCAAATAGTATATATCATTTTACCAACTCACATACACTCAGGATGGAAAACCCTGACTGGTTCTAATGATCTATAATAATAACTCAGTAAGGCATCTCTAGGATGTGCAGACATCTTGGGAGAAAAGCAAACATCCTGCCATTAATGTCCACGAAGGTCCTGGTCTGATCATCTAAGTAACTCCCTGCAGCTACGTTTCCTAGGGCCTCCCTAACACATGTGAAAGAATCTAAGTCAAGGAGGAACTTGGCTGAGCTCAATGCATGGAAGATTCCACTGATCCCAATGAATCCGAATGGCATCCTTTACTTACTAGTAGCCAAGCTTACCTCAGGGCCAGAGCAGTAGACCACTTATAACCTCCAGTCCAGTTGCAGTACAGCATCTTTGGAAAAGTGCGGTTACCTTAAAAAAAAAAAAAAAAAAAGGGAAAACACTCTACATAGAAACGGGTATAAAAATATTCTTACACAGAGACTAGTGGCCTTGTAATTTAAAATCTAAAAGTCAACTCTCTCTACAGTAATTAAAGTTTGCTACAGTGACTGGTAAAAAGAAAGCCTTTACCATCTACAAACATACATTTAATGTTTAAATCAGTTAAGTAAGGGTTACAGCTTTAAGTATGTGAAGCTATCAAGACTTAGATGAAGTTTAGGGCAAATAAGACAGTGTGGTCTTATTTATCAAACAGGTAAATCAAGCAACGGGGAAAGGAGAGAGAGCCCAGCCCAGGCACACAGAAACACTTCCTGTGGGATGCAGGGCACACACAGATTGGCCTGGAAGAGTCCAGAGACAACTAGCTATCCATGTGGGATAAAAAGTAAACCTGAATCTACTTCACACCATATACCAAAACCAATTCCAGGTGGATTACAGACCTGTATGTGAAAGGTCAAACTTCAACTTTTAAAAGAAAATATAGGAAATAAAAGGGCTATGAGTTGTATTAAAAAAAAAGTCAAGCTCTATCCAAAAGATACCCCCAAAAGTGGGGGGAGGGGTAGTTAAAATCTGGGAAAGGATTTTAGGGACACCAAAAGGTTATTATCCAAAATATGAAAGAATTCCCGGAAATCTTCAAGAAAAAAGACAACATTTATGAATAATAAGTATTGGAGAGCATGTGCATCAAGAACAGTTACGTACCAATGGTGGGAATGTAAACTGTTAAGAGCATTTTGGACAATAATACATGCTAGAGAGTATATTGCTAGACACAGCCCTGCACACGTGCAACCAGTAGGTATGTGCAAAAAATAATAGCACAACCTGTGAGAGCAAAAAACTGTAAATAATCCAAATACATAGAACAGAGAAACTATGATACAATCTTACAGTGGATTATTATACAGAAGTAAAAAAAAAATAAGTTAATAAGACACATGGATCATCTTAGAGCCATAATGTTGAGAGGAAAAGAGGAAGGACAAGACCATAAACAGACTATTATTTTATGTAA